GACATTTCGACCATTGATCTTTATATTTGACATGTCCATAGTCCTACTATAAGTCACAGGCATTTCGACCAGTGATCTTTATATCTGACATGTCCATAGTCCTACTATAAGTCACAGGCGTTTCGACCATTGATCTTTATGTCTGACATCTCCTTAGTCCTACTATAAGTCACAGACATTTCGACCATTGATCTTTATATCTGACATGTCCATAGTCCTACTATAAGTCACAGGCGTTTCGACCATTGATCTTTATGTCTGACATCTCCTTAGTCCTACTATAAGTCACAGACATTTCGACCATTGATCTTTATATCTGACATGTCCATAGTCCTACTATAAGTCACAGACATTTCGACCAGTGATCTTTATATCTGACATGTCCTTAGTCCTACTATAAGTCACAGACATTTCGACAATTGATCTTTATATCTGACATATCCATAGTCCTACTATAAGTCACAGACATTTCGACAAGTGATCTTTATGTCTTACATGTCCTTAGTCCTACTGTAAGTCACAGACATTTTGACCATTGATCTTTATGTCTGACATATCCATAGTCCTACTATAAGTCACAGACATTTCGACCAATTGCTTAGATGTGTATCCACCTCACAGTGACATCCCTGTGTTTAGGTTGACATGTCAGAGATTCTACATCCTCCCAGAGAAGGAACTGAATGATGTTTCGCCTGAGAATCTCGTAGTGAACCCACACAGATGTTTGCTTTCTTTTGTTCTTTATTATTGATTGTTATATGTAGTGACATTAATGCTGGCGTCTCTACCTCACTTGACAATCCATGTTGCTGAGTTGTGTGAAAAACTTGATAGATACAAATTGTAGGTGACTTCACCAAAAGAAAGTGGTTACAATCTTAATAGTTGCTACATGTCATATGCTAAAGTTGTTATGTTACTACAAGTCACAGCCTGAGAATGCACCTTTAACAAATATAGTTTATGTGTTGACATAGTTGGACATTATGTGCTCCAAATATAGTTTATGTGTTCACATAGTTGGACATTATGTGCTCCAAATATAGTTTATGTGTTGATATAGTTGGACATTATGTGCTCCAAATTGCCCCTGGGGAGGAATAAAGAGGTACTTTTTTTTTTTTTTGCCTGGAAATGTTAAAATTTTCAAGGTTTGATATTGTTGACTGAGCTCTAAAACTTTAACAGTGATAGTTATTATGAAAATGTAACATATATTTACCGAAATAATGCTTATCATGATGTGAAACTTTTTTTTCTGAGAGAAACACATTAACCCATTCAACACCGCAGGCCGAATAATCGGCCACAACATTATGAGTCCCCAGACACCGGAGGCCGATTAATCGGCCAGGCAGTAGTCACGTCAAAATCAGACATAATTTTAGGAACCTACCTGACTTATGATTCATATATTAAATCTATCACATTTCACAATGTCTGAAAACACTTATTAAATTTCAATTTAGGCCTAAAAAAAAAAAGCTTGTGGTTCCGATTTCCCGACCGACCCTAAATATTCCCGCCAAGCCTAACAATTTTACTCACCACATAATAAATTAAATTTATTTTCTGACACATGAGTAATGTAAAAATATTTTGCAAAAAAAACCCAAAAAAACCTACCTACCTACCCTAGTTCTGAAATGTAGGAAATCGGAACCATGACATTTATTTTTTGCCTTATCATATATTATCAGCAGAATTAAAATTATAAACTATTTTTCGCAATGTTATTGAAAACAACGATTCTCGGACACATGCTTCGGCAGCGCGGGTCCACAATAACGTTGTCAAAGAGCAAAGTAACGATGTTTCGAGGAATTCATTAAATAAATTGAATAAACTAATGAATAAAATCAACAACAACATTCATAAAAGTTGTCAAACGTACATATAAAATTACTATTTCCATCTTTTTGTGCGATCATGTAATGTAAGTCAAGTCACTGACAACTGACATCTCGGCTCTCGCCGCCTCAATCTTCACGCTCGGACACGATGTTTAATGCGAAAATATATGCATGAAGCATTTTTGTCACAGGTCATAACCTAGCACGGTACGTCCAATAAGTCCCATAATTTACGTATAGGTAGCGATTTCTTGCTTAATATGTTCAAAATAGCATTATTTTACGCAAAACTTTCGTCTAAATCTAAAAGCTTTCGTTTACGAGGACGGTATCCATTGCCGTAATATGATTGGCTGCCTCATGTCACGTGTCTGATTTTGACCAATCACGACCCTTATAGCAGACTGTAGCGAAAAAGCGTCATTAGAAACCAATTTTTATCCAATAAAATCGCTTCTTACAACTGTGAAAATACTCTCAGCAAGGGTTCAGTGATGTTGTTGATGTTCAGAGCTTTCGAACGATACCCGCCATCAAACGATTCGCCTCCCATGTAATTCATCAAAGCTTCGAAAACGGAGGTATTTTCCGTTGTTATGTCATGGTACCGAGCGGAAAGCCACAGATATCGGGAAATAGGCGACCATACATATTATTTAAGAAATCTTTTTATAATAATTTTCTGATTACGTAAAAATGAAAATATAAAAGAAAAAGGCACGGACATGTTATGACATGTCACAAATGGAAAAAAATCGCCATAGTTTTTGCTTCTTTCATGGTTTATCTGGAGGTTATAAATGTAAGCTTGCATTTTCATTCAAAAATAATTTCATTTAAGTTGCAGTTGTATTATTTGAATAATATTATAAAAATAAACTTCATATTTATCAACAGTAGGATTAGATCTTTTAAATGGTGTATGGGATGTAGTAGCAATAACGTTTTACAAGCTTATAATTTCTTTCATAAACATAGGCTTCATCTATGACCTCAGAGTCTCTGGGAACTCGGTGTCATGGCAGTAAATGCCTCTGGTTGACTGGTGTTGAAAGAGTTAATAAGGATTTAAAGTTGTCTGTTATTGAATATCACATATGTTCACTGTGAGTTTTGTAATAAAATTATACATTACTCTGTTTGAAATCAAGGCCACTTGTTCACGCCGAAGGCCCGGGTTCGATTCCCCACATGGGTACAATGTGTGAAGCCCATTTTCTGGTGTCCCCTGCTGTGATATTGCTGGAATATTGCTAAAAGCGGCGTAAAACCCAACTCACTCACTCAAGTCCACTTGTGATGATTGACATGCATGTAACTATCATTATGTCATTGAAAGTTGGTACATGTCATCCTTTGAGTATATAAGGTAAAGGGCATTCTTATTAATAGTAAAATATGTTTGCCTTATTGCCTTTTACTGCCGTCTTCACATATATAGGCATTACATACTCTGCAAAAACCGAAACACAAAAGTGGTTTTAAGATGTTTACTTTATGTATTCTATGAATAATGGATGTGAACCAAGTCTTGGGAAATGGCGGCCCACATGTTACAACCTCACTGCCAAACCTGTCCACTTGCTGTGTTCCGTCTGTACGGAGAAGCAAAACCATGACTAAACCAAACCTGTCCACTTGCTGTGTTCCATCTGTACGGAGAAGCAAAACCATGACTAAACCACACCTGTCCACTTGCTTTATTCCATCTGTACGGAGAAACAAAACCATGACTAAACCAAACCTGTCCACTTGCTGTGTTCCATCTGTACGGAGAAGCAAAACCATGACTAAACCAAACCTGTCCACTTGCTGTGTTCCATCTGTACAGAGAAGCAAAACCATGTCTAAACCACACCTGTCCACTTGCTTTATTCCATCTGTACAGAGAAGCAAAACCATGACTAAACCAAACCTGTCCACTTGCTGTGTTCCATCTGTACGGAGAAGCAAAACCATGTGAACGAGGGAAAAACAAAGCGCCTTTGAGCAGCTGAGGTGAGCTGGATATCGGCGCTATACAAATGTTAGTATGTATGTATGTATGTATGTATGTATGACTAAACCACACCTGTCCACTTGCTGTATTCCGTCTGTACGCAGAAGCAAAAACCATGACTAAACCAAACCTGTCTCCATCACTGTTCTGGCCATCGTCTATGTCCTAGAAACAAATGACATGCAGCTGATGATGCTAACCAATCAGAATGATGCCTCGAACTGATCGTCTTGGACGAACACCTGCGACACATAGACGATTCCTCAGTGTCTGAGCTGTATTCCTGGCTCTGCTGTAGCTGTAGAGGAAGCTGTGGTGAGTCCATCACGCCAGTGACCAACTCGTGTCATCAACAGATTGTGTTTTGGCTGACGTTAACAGTCTACACCACACTCTGTTGTTTCTATCAAGGAAGTCCAAAGTGAACATAACATTTCCCCAAAGATGGTCAATGGTCCAGTGCTGTCACTCTTTCACCAACAACATCTTGCAGTAATGTCAGTCATATGATAAGATGTGTACGTCCGGCAAGCAGCTTCCCATTACAACTTGTCTGTCCACCCACTCTAACCCCTGCAGCTCTGTCAAGCTCATATCCAACTTGAGATGCACTTTGACCATTGTTTCAGAAAACAGTCGTTCTGTTTGCAGTTGCACCTGTTGTCACCCTTGGTCAACCAGATCGATATCTGTCATCAACGTTATTCATCTCTCAATATTGTGATTGTAATATGCTGATCACTGGCTGAAACAGCTCGTGACACAATGCTCTGTCTTGTTCCAAGTTCCATTTGCAGTTCTTGCAGTCTGGTTTTTATCACTGAAAAGTACAGCAATACACTGACATGTTTCAGTGTAAATTTCATAATTCTAAATCCATATACATTCATAAACTTGTTCCCAAATAATATCACACCAAAATGGAACATCGCTATTATTGTAATAGTATGTCAGCAGGATTAGTATGACAGCTGGTTATTGACAGTGAACTTCTGTTACAAGTTTAAACATTGTTTTGATGACAGATGAGGCTCTGTGAAAGTGGTAGTCTTCTTCGATGTTAACAGTGATAACTATTGTTCAATAACTGGATGAAGTGTGACTTAATATGACACATTTTTGAAAAGGTGATGCATATGTTGCAGGTGAGCTGTGGGAGTGTGTTCAGCCCCTGTGAGGACACGGTGCAACTCATTACTGTCACGAGAACATTGCCTCGTGGCAGCAAGTGTGCAGTTTCTGTTGGCACTACACATGGGCATGGTGAGTGTGGAAACCTGCTTTTTTAGAGCACCTATCATGAAGGTTTATGTTGTCATAAGTGACCTGATTGTCCATAAACATTATATATTTATGACTTCCCTAAAGTGTATCATCAATTTAGCTGAAATTCTTTGTGAGTTTGTCAAGGGCATCAAATGTGGCTATCAGACAGACATGTTTGAAGAGCCTGAAACATGATAGTGACATTGTTGTACCAGGCTTGTTGAAGGTGTCTTGACTGCACATCAAACATTGAATACTGGTGGCCAGGTTAAAAAGTATGCTAATGGCAAAAGTAACTGTTTCATATTGAGTATCTTAATAAATCAATTTATACTACAGCAAATAGATAATTCAACAGATATTCTTAAGCCAACTTTCTTATACAATTTGACCATCTACAAGCAGAGCCAGCTGGCGCTGCTATAGAAGTTTTCGCAGTGATACTTGATGGCGCCATGATGATTCATCCAGGATTCTCTGTAACATTACATGATTACATCCAAAATATATTTCTGCTATACATTTTCCATGACTGTGCACACCTGGAGAGACTGCCCATTGTTTGGGACAGGTACAAATCAGACATTGAAGGAGTAACCAGAGAAAAACACATATCAAAGGTCTAAGGAGAAGACTCAGACCATCATTGCATGTGCCATATAACTGGGAATGCTTCGGATAATACTGAGAACAAAAATTAAGCATTTTGCATTGCAAGCTGAACAGGTTACTTCAGTAGAATTGGATTAAAAACAAACTTCCATCATCCTTGAGACCTGTTCTGTAACAGCCGCCAGAGGAATGCTCACATGATGAAGCTCACACCTGTCATATGTTGCACCTTTCTTCTGTTTCTCATGGTGGTCACAAGAGGGTGATAATTAGGACTGTTGACAGTTAAAAGCTGTTTCCAGACAAATTCTTGCCTGAGGTAACTCGAACCCATCTCTTAGTCACACTACAAAAGTTAAGCCTACATCGTTTAATAAGTTGGCTTAATCTATTTTCTGTAAGTAAACCTGTCACCAGCTATTTTAGAACAACATGAAGCTAATACTTCAATATAGGCTCATTAAGACTAAACACCCTACTAGCACACACACAAACAAACGTGTCTATTGTAAGGTCAAAATCTCCTTCCAAGCAACCAGAAAATGTGTCAACAAGATTAGTGCCAGTTCAATTAGCAGGATTAAGTACGCCCCTCCTGTAAATAAATTTGTAATTGGTCACTTGCCAATCTGTCTCTTGCTATCTTGTGCACTGCCCCAGTAGAGAGACAGCCCCATCGCTTAACAGCAATTCTTCGCACCTTATACATCACAGGGAAAAAGTAATCAATACCTGTGTAGGTAAATGCACCTGCAATTGCACAGATCCAACAGGATGGTAGATCTGCCATTGGGTAATTTAAGGTTTCACACATGCCTTTTGACACTGAAATCAACTGATGATAGCATGCTTGGACAATCTTTGTAGATTTGCTGGCCAATTGTGTGACACACACCATCATGTGTTCCAGACAGCCATGCATAGTTTTGAGATTCTGATCTTCCATTACTAAGTGCAAAACTGGGTGATCTTTCAGTAACAGTATCTGATACTTGGCTTCCATTTGGATATGCGCTACACTAATATGCTTTTCAAAAACAGGAGGTACAGGTAGTGGCTTACTTTTCACAGGAACCTCCTGTCCTGATTCATAGCTAACAGGTTCATCTGAGAAAGTATCCCAGTGTACTCCTGGCATGCAGTGTACATAGTTTTACTCCACTTGCAGTGTTTATTTGTGATTGGAGTCCAGTGACTAGAACTGCTCTGAGAAACCACACAGTCTGTATCACAAGTCCCTGCCATGAAGACAATTCTGCTGGTTTAGGACACCAGATATTTGTGTGTTTGGGGTTTGCCTTACAGGTAGAGGATAAGATACACCAGTAGGGGTATGCTTATCAGATGCATGCTTTTAATTTCAGGATCATTATCAAAATTTGTGCTATGAGCAAGAAGTGTTAACATTATACTCTTGGACCACTAAACCATATGTGATCTTCTTGAGACTGGTAACAAGCAGAAGACCGCATGTAAAGTGGTCACCTGGATTGTCCACATCTGGAACATGATGCAGCTGCTCACTGATACTGGCATCAAGAATCTCTGATGGACATGAAAAGTATGGAGTGCTTAGATTGACTGTTGAGGGTATTCGATTGTGTTTAAATCTGCCCAGAATAAAGCTCTGTCAGTCTTCACATTGAACTCTGTTGAGTGCAGTCACACCTCTAGCACTGCTCCCTGAAGTTCTAGCTTCCGAATTGTCAGATTGGAGACTCATAAGTTTGTGCAGTCAGAAATGAATATGTGAAAAAGTGGAAAATGGGTGAAACAAATTCAACCATGTGGGAGTGTGGCAGTGAAACTCACCAACATGAACTGAATGTCCAACATAAATAGTTGGGCTATTAAAACGATGGTTTTCCATTTGTCCGTCATCTCATTTGTACAGCTAGTGAAAAGTGAAAACAACTGACAGAAGCTCAATGCAACAACATCATCGGTAATAGGTGGTTTTTTTTACGTATTGCCAAGAACCATTATCAGATGTAGGGGATTGTATGCTCAAAACTGTATACAGGAAACGAACAGGTTTGTTGGCAGGAGTGTAATGATGTGGGCCGTCCTCTTCCATACCAACAGAACAGACTTGGTACTTACACATCCAGGGCAATTTAATCGCACCAAGTTACACAGATGAGGTTTTATGGCCAAAGGTCCATCCCATTATGCAACAAGCAGATGTAATTTTTCAACACAACAACTTCAAACTGCAAGAATGACAATGAGGAACCCCAACATCCAAGTGTTGCCATGGCTCTCAATGTCTCCAGATCTAAACCCCAAAGAACATTTTTTGGAAGCTCGTGATCAATGTCTGCAATCACTATCACATCAGCAACCATGACAGCCTCCCAATAGTTGACAACATTCCCCAGGCCACAAATTGTTTTGTGATTGGTTCCATAGGGCAACAATGCCAGGCTCTTCTGGACTCCATGGGGGTTATACAATATAGTAAGAACAGATGACCTTCACCTTGACATTCAATTGTTTCGTGTGTGCCATGATGAACCTTGGTCAGTGCCAAATTTAAACAATATATTATGAGTTCAAAATATAAAGCTGGCTCAGGAAACAAAACAAAACTATTCATTGGTTGACTTGATTGGACATGACATTTGAATATGTTTTGTTTGACATTTCTTGCCCCCGATTGCACAAAAGTTTGATTACATGCAAAAATGGAGATATTTGTGATATTATCCAACTGCTATTACCCATACTGTATTATGGAGCTCTAAATCTACATTTTGATTGATGATGCTATATGGAACATTTGTATCCTTTTGTTTCAGATGTTAAAGGCCCACAGTTGGGCAAACCTGAATGTATCGGGCAATCCACCATCTGCCCCCAAAGATACAACACTACAGTTTAACAGTAATACAGTGTCCAAACTGAGACAGCACAAGAGTCATGTGAGTATCCATAGAAACGTGAAGAGCTGACAAAAATAGTTATGCTGTGATGTAACTCAACCATTCCTTTAAAAAGAAGCATAGTGATTTCTTATAAAGGTTTTAAATTTTAAAATGTTAATAGTTTTTATGTGATGTGTGTGTTATGTAGATCATAGAGAATCTGACTTTCCCATGCAGTCATTTATGGATTTTGTGAGGATATGTAGGACTTGATATTGATCTATTGCAGTTGAAGGAGAAGGAAGATGATGAGTGTTGCACATTAGCTACCTCTGACATTGTCACCAACAACCTCCATATGCCACTAGAACAGAACAGTACCTGGCAGGACCGCCAAACGTCACATATGTTCATACCTATACCCAGGACCAGGACCTTGAGAAACAATAGTAAATCTCACAGAGAAGTCAACAAAACTTCCTCCCATAGGATGGGAAACGACACAGTTTCAGGGTATGATGGCCCCCGATCATCAAGATATAATAGTTGTACAGACATAACAACCCTACCTATGGTAGCAGAGTTAGATAATGATGAAGGAAGGATTACAAGTGACCAGTTGTACACCACCGTCAAAACACATAGTGATGAGGTGAGTACCTCCACTCCTGACACCCATGTATTCCGAGCTCACAGTCTGGGAGATTTAACAACTGGACTCACATTATCCTTAGTTGGGCAGAGACAAGCTGACAGCATGTTAAATCTGTCTGAAAACAATAACATGACCACACAAAATACCAAAATGTCTTTGGGCTTACTCAAGGAATCCAGGTTGAAACAGACACGAGAAATTAACGGAAATATTCCTGAAGAAACAACACAGAAAGTGACAGAAGTTACACGTGAAAGTGGCCACTTATCACAACAGACTCGCTGCCTTCCCCAGGGCCGAGTGTCACCAAACGTTGCAGGGAGGGAAGTATCGCCACTCAAGGGAAGACGATGTCTACCCCATGTGCCTGTCACTGAAGGGTCTGAGAGAATTAAACGTTTTACAGAGCTAATGAAGGCAAGAATGGCGTTGAATAGTAGAGCCAGTCAGGGTACGATTTCAGTCAGTTCAATGCCAGTTACTCCACACCAGCCTGATGCTCAACACAATCTGGCAAGTGTATCCACTCCATCAGATAATGAAGTGTCCAATTTCTTTAGTCCTGATAAAAGTGCAGGTCACAGGACGCCTAGAAAAAGCACTCAAGACAGAGCACCACAATATCTGCATACAGAAAATAAAGGGCCGGAAGCTATGTACAGACAATCAAAAGGTAGAGCTCCAGTGAATTCCCACCAACACATAGGGGTGGGACTTGGGCACTCGCTGTCACTGAACTGTACACCCAAACTACCAGAAGACAGTGCAGATTTAGGGCACCCAGTTCTTCATTCCCATCCCCATTGCAGTACCTCAGACTCTGGATATGTCACAAACAATGACTTTGACACTGACATTTCCAACACAATGGTTTCTCATTTATACAATGAGAGAAGGACTAGTGAGGGTCTGAAGCTGTCCCAAAAAGAGTACATGAGCAAATGTTCAGACAGTTTATATTCATCCTATTACGATCATGTTAGAAATATTACTGGTGATCCTCATTTCCGTGATACAGCCAGTCATGGGCGTGCAGCTAGGAGAGAGGTGGCACTGTACACTAATAGCAACAACACTGTACTGAAAGGAATAGCACAGTCGGATGAAACATTCCTCACAACCGTCAATGGATTTCGGCCCGTGAGAGAGGATGACAGTGTTCAGTATTATCACCATGATGTTCACGATGCTGGTTATCTGAGTCATCATACTTTAAGTGGCAAAAAGATTGCACATTATGCTTCTCAGCCAAATTTGAATTTGGCTCTTTCTAAAAGCGGTGAAGAAAATTTTGTGAGAAAGAAATCAAGTCATCAAAGAGTCCTTCATAAGAGTACACCTGTAATTGTTAAAAACAACAAAGTTGAAAATCCTCATAGATCCAAAAGTAGCTCTGCTGGAAGACGCTGGTGTGATGGTAATATGGACCCAGACAAAGGTCTTGGAGGTGGTGCTGGAAGACGCTGGTGTGATGGTAATATGGACCCAGACAAAGGTCTTGGTGGTGGTGCTGGAAGACGCTGGTGTGATGGTAATATGGACCCAGACAAAGGTCTTGGTGGTGGTGCTGGAAGACGCTGGTGTGATGGTAATATGGACCCAGACAAAGGTCTTGGTGGTGTCCAGTCTCCCACAGCGTCTGCTTCATCATCCCATCCACCATCCTGGAGTCCTGGGCAGCAGAGTGATGCATACCTTCAACATCAGGCACAAGCACAGAACTCGGATAATTCACTGCGTTGTGCAACTCTTCCTGGAAACTGGAGATTTAATGGAAAGGGAGACAATGGCTACAAAATACCTGTTACCAAATTTCCAACACTGTATCAGATGGCTCAAGTGTATAATTTTCATGGAACAAAGATTGTGCTTCCGAGAGGACTCCCTTTGGATAAGTCTCTTCAGCTAATAGATCATGTAGTTGAACTACCTTCATTGAGAGAAACATTGAAAGATCCTGTGATTTCTTCCATGCCCAAAGGCAATTATCCTTGCCTTGGTGGACCAGGTAGTGCCTTTCAGCCTGTCAAGTCTAAAGGTGTCACGCCATTCACTGTAGTTGCAGTGGGTGGTATCCATGACAACATGCTGGAAGCTGCAAGTGATTTAAAGTCAGGTGATATCATAATTGAGGTAAGTATTTTCAAGACATGTTAAAAGAATTAATTTCTATGATAAATCAATGGAAGTGAAAATTCTGATGACAATATGTACTGGAGTGTTGCAGATATTGACCCACCTGATTCATTCATTTAAAGTGTTTAGGTTAGCTCTCTTTTAGTATATGTCTGTATATATTGCTCAATTCCTTTGCTTTGTTTGACTGTGCCTTCCTGTTTGTTTTTCTGCAGTTTGTGAATATTCCGTTTGTGTCAGCCGCATTGAATCAATGCCAAATTAATCTCAAAAACACTGTAATGGACGCTTCAGCTGGCGTCCAAAGAAACAGTACAAGTAAAGGTAGCCACGGGGAGTGTATGGGGAAGTCTGAAGACCGTCAGTATTGCCCAGGAGGCAATCCTAGTATTATTGATGAAACTGTTTTCATCTCGATAATCCTTAATATTTTTTCCTATCAACAATATTTCTTATTATTGATCTTTTTAGCCAGCCCTAATACAAATACTAATGATTGATTTCTCCTTCTGTAAGAGTCTTTAGATATCTTTATTAAATGATGAGAACCAATGTTCTACCTACAAAATATAAGGGAAATGATGAATCATAGTGAAGGTGAAATGATGATAAATGTCTGTAAAATTACATATTTTTCCTTATCCTGACTCATGCTCTTTTGCTTGTCTTCTTCTTCTTGCGAACATAGTGGAACACTTGTATCTCCCTAATTGAAGCTCCCTTCAATGTAAAATCACTAATTAGTACTCACCACGAGTTGCCTCCCTCTTCCTTTGCGCGGGAAAGGAGGCGCCACCCTCTGGCCTCATGCTTCACTCTCTCCTTCTTCGCCCAGTGTATGTGAGAGCGCCTGTGTCTCCCTACACACTATATCCTTTGATTATTCTTAGTTAATTACCTCTTATAGTCTTCTATAGAGGTGTAGCTAGTATCCTTCAACAATTATGTATTGATAATTAATCGTATATCTGCTGTTTATTCACGGGACGCCGTGATTGTTCAGCAAGTTTATTTTGATGAAAATCTGTACTATTTGTAGATTATGTTTTTCTGCTGCTGATCCGCATTTAATATGCCCTAGCTGTACTACGCCATGTGCGTTTTCTTCACGTTGCAGCTATTGTATTAATCTGTCAAATTCTGCATTTAATAAATATTATCTTTACGTCTTGAGACGTGCAGCAGATAGGTCACGCAAACAAGGTTTAGCCATGGCCGATACATCGGAACCCCTAGCCAGTCAACTGCTGTCGGACGGCCCCCTCCCGTCTGGTGTTCCGCTAGAGTTACCCTCGGAGGAGAGGCGTGGGACGCAGTCCGCCGTCTCCATGAAGCGTCCTGCATCCCCAGACATCCCGTCGTCGCAGCCAAAGACTAAGAGGGTTTCGACATCATCTCAACGCAGACTTCGTACCCCCAGGGCAGCGTCTACCTCCAAGGGGAAATCGACGAAGTCTTCTAGAACCTTCTCAGCCGAGATTGTTCCCGCCGCAGAACTGGGCCTGTATGATGATCAGCCGATCATCATACCCGATCTACGCCACAAGAAACGACCGGTGTCGGCAACAGTGACGTCAGCGCAGATCGCCATGCAGCCTGATGTACCAACGCTGATGTCGGACGATCTTCCTGAGGGCCCCGTCGTTACCAACGCAGAGAGGGCACCGACTACATCTTCACAGACCGTCCCAGACGACCTGATGCGGCAGATCATGAAGATGATGGAGGACCGATACAGACTGGAGAGACAACCAGCCCAGAGCCTGAGCCTTCGCGAAGGCTCCAACCTAGACGACACCCCAGAGGGACCCCCTGTCAACGTAGAGGCCACTACAATGCCACCTCCGCGAAGGAAGTCACAGACCACCTCGGCGAAGGACCCAGATGTACAGCCTTCCCGAAGGCCTTCGCGTCATCTACCTCGGACCTTGATGATCAACACGCACGAGGACGCTCGAAAAGAAAGATCATCTCATCCCCGGACTCTGACTCGGACCCTCAGTCTTCGCGAAAGCCTTCGCGAAGGTCAAGTCGTCGCTCCCCAGGACCGGACTCAGTTGAAGCTTTGCGAAGGTCTTCGCGAAGGGCACCAGCTACAGGCTCCAAGTCATCTTCGTCTAGAAGGTCATCGAGGGATTCTCCAAGAGCTTCGCAAAGCTATCAACGTTCACCACGTAGATCGCCGCGAAGGTCACCATTTAGACACAGCTCGTCAGCTCGTTCACCAAGACGATCTCCTCGCCGATCTCCTCGTCGTCCACCTCGCCGATCGCCTTGCAGGTCACCACACCGTTCGCCGCACAAGCCTTCACGAAAGTCCCCAGTCAGGTCTCCGGTGTCGTCGTCCTGCACAGAGGTAGAAGCATACAGGTCACCATCGGAAGAGCATCAACCTCTTATAAGCGATCCCGTTATAGAAAATGATGGAGGCATCATATTCTCCGACGCTGAGATACGCTATTGGATGGTTAACAACCTGGACCTATCTTCACCTTCCAAGAACGGTAATCCGGCCCACACTTACGTTATGAGGGAGGACGATGCAGACAACATCACCCTACCTCCGATCGACCCGATTGCTACGGTCCCACAGAATCTGGACACAGCCTTCCATAAAGCCGCTAAAGTCCAAGCGCCACACTTACCACAGTTCAACGCAAAGAAGTTTTCAACTCATAATATGGACCCCTTTTTCAAGGCACAAGAGATAGATGACAACTACAAGGTGATCAACGATGTCAAGAATAAGAACTATAAGATTGACGACCGCAAGCTGGTTCAGATTGAAACCATGACAAGGCGAATGTTCTTCGGCCTTAATAGATCTAGAACGATCGATGAGACTCTTATATCCAGATTTCGAGATTTGACATCTGAGGATGACAGAATGATCTACTCGGTCCTACTTATGCAAAAGACCAGCAGTTTCTAACGGATCATCTCACATCAGTCTCTGCAGCGCTAACTCTGGCTCGTCGTCAAGGCCTCCTCGCTTCCTGCAGCTGGGGTGAGCAGTTTACAGCTCCACTCTACACAGCCCCGTGGTTTACGCCATCCATCTTCCACGGAGGAATAGATAAAGTCTCTAAGGAAGTCACCAAGGATTCTAGAGAAGTCCTTATGATAAAGTCGATGGACACGCTAGCCAGCGTCATCAGGCAGACTTCACAGAGATATTCAGGGAAATCTAAATTCACTGGATTACAGAAAGCACGGGATAGGAAGATGGCCAGCTCCAGGGGAAAAGATTCCTTTCGTTGCCCATATGGCAACTACAGAGGAGGATGAGGAAGAGGCAGGGCACCCAGAGGTTCCTGCAACTATAAACGATGAAAGACAGGTTCGGAACGACTGGAGTCTTCCACCCCCAGCCTACATGGCCAGTATAGATCTGCAGGATGCTTATCTACACATCCCGATACATCCCGAATCCAGGAAATACCTACAGTTTACACTAGACGGGCTGCATTATCAATGGAAAGTACTCCCATTTGGAATATCATCGGCCCCCTGGTTATTCACAAGAGTAACGAAACCTATCGTCACCTACCTACATCGTCTAGGGCTACGCAGTGCGTTCTACCTCGACGACGGGATACAAGTAGATTAAGATCCACAGCATCTCAAACTACAGTTAAACTTCATCATCAAGCTACTAACACAGCTAGGATGGTTAGTAAATCTACTCAAGTCGGACCTAGTACCAACGCAAGACCTGCAATTTCTAGCCATTCGATTTATCACGACACTGAACCGTATCGTCGTACCAGAAGACCGATGGCTCAAGATCCAACAGACCATCCCACAAGCCTTACTCTCTCCGCTACCACTACGACAATGGCAGAGTCTGTTGGGTCTCCTCACGTCAGCCCAAGACATGACAGTCAGAGACAGACTACAGTTACGTCCGTTACAGGTCTTCATCAATGCTCATCTTGACGACCTACAGCCATTCAGTCTACCGAAACACATCAGACCTCATCTACTATGGTGGACCAGGAGGTCGAATGTCTGCGAAGGCATTTATTTAACAGAGCCGGAATTCAAAACCCATCTCTATGTAGACGCGTCGCTCCAAGGTTGGGGAGCTCATCTTGCCAACCGGACGGCATCAGGGTTATGGAATCAGCAAGAAAGCAAGCTCCACATAAACATGCTAGAGATGAAAGCTGTAATCAACGCCATACTACATTGGAGCACCATTCTACAGAAGGCGCATCTGATGATTCACACTGACAACTCAACAGTGGCGTTTTATGTAAACAAACAAGGCTCAACGAGATCACTGAACTTATTGACTTTATGCTTTCAACTGTTCGATCTAATCGACGATCTCAACTTACATGTCAGAGCATGTCACATTCCCGGAGCCAATAATGTACTAGCAGACGCACTCTCTCGGCCACACCTACCGTCACCGACAGAATGGATGCTCCATACAGAAATCTTTGCACAGATTATCAAGAAAATAGGAGCTCCGCTAGTAGATCTATTCGCCACTCGCTTCAACAATCAGCTAACAACATTCGTATCACCAGTCCCGGATCCACAAGCGTGGGCAAAACGCTCTAAGCATATCCTGGGAAGGCCTCAACGCGTACGCGTTTCCGCCGCCAGTGTTAATCCCACAAGCGTTACAGAAAATCAGACAAACTCAGAGCCTCCAACTGATTTTGGTCGCACCCTACTGGCCAGCGAGAACGTGGTTTCCCATTTTAATTCAAGAAATCGGACAACCAACACTAGAGCTACCAAAGCGTTCGAATCTACTAATACATCCTCACACCAAACAAAGACGAAACCCAGAAGCATTCCAACTTCACATTATGGACTGTATTAAAGTGTGTCTAAACAAGAGAGGTTATTCAGCCAGAGCGGCGAAAGCAGTCACGCTTGCTTTTGCTATTCTATTCTACACGTAACTTGTACGCGGCGACAAGTGGCACAGTTTCGAAACTTACGCAGCTAAGAAGGGATTTACAGCTAGAAATGCTACACATCCACAAGTGGCTGACTATCTGTGTTACTTACGCCAAAATAAACATTTAAAAGGCTCGACATTGTCAACATATCTTGCCGCGTTTAGTTCTGTGATAACTATGAGAACGGGTGTCAAGTTAACCAAAACACCAGAGTTACTGGCCTTACTACGTGCATTCCGATTGGAGGATCAGAAACAGAAGTTCCGCGCTCCAGCATGGGATATAAATATAGTGCTCCAACACCTCACAAGTGAGGCTTATGAACCACTGGAATCAACAACTTTTGAATTTTTCTCACAGAAAACATTGTTCCTGTTATCCCTAGCAATGGCAGCCAGGATGTCAGAAATTCATGCACTAGATTATGAGAGAATACGGTTTGACGACAATCAAAACATAGTGCACATGGGACTACGATGGGATTTCATCGCCAAGAATCAATTGCCAGGTCAACCAGACAGATTATTCCATGTTCCTGCACTCTCCTCAATTCTCGGATCTCAAGATACGCTGGACCTATCTCTATGCCCAGTCAGAGCTCTCAAAATCTATCTACGACGATCCAAAACGAGGCGACGACATCTCAAACGATTATTCATCCCTCTATCGACAGCGACTCAGACCGAAGTCTCTCGTACCACCATATCAATATGGATATGAACTGTCATACTTCGTGCCTACAAGGCTGCAGGACTCGACCCTCCAAGAGCATGTAATCCACATGAGATCAGAGCACTGGCTTCCACACTCGCTCTACATGGTGACTGCTCATTAAATACCATTATGGAGGGCTGCTTTTGGAAATCCGACATGGTGTTTGCTAATCACTATCTGAGAGATATCACCACCGAGGACGTCTCAGGTATTCACCATTTCGGTCCCATGGTCCTCGCACAGCAGTTGACAGTCCCTCGTAGACTATGAGAAATAGTCTCACGAGATTATTATGTATATATCATACCAGTATCATCTAGCTTATAACTCTACGGAGTTTTAGGGCTAATTATATACATATCTTAAGTCTACTTAGTCTTAGTCTTAGCCCAGTACTGATGTTTATGTACAGTTGGGTAGCTTCTCCATTTTGGAGTCGCTTTTATACCATTACTGCTATTATCATAGTATATCATTATTGTAGTACCCCATCTATGGCAGCTGGTAAACTTATGGTTTATAGTAGCAGGAATTATCCTTATTCAGTGCCATTATGAAGTTCCCGTAGGGGGTTATTACATATATATATAAATCACTAATTATTTAAATCCAAAGTATTCTGGTTTTCCCACCTCCGTTTCTGTAGGATTCTACAAACAAAAGAGCATGAGTCAGGATAAGGAAAAATATGTAATTTTCTAAATAAAATTGATCTTTTATACTTATCCTGACTCATGAGGTAAGCCCTCCCATCCTCCCCACATAACACTTTGGATTTCCCTGTAAATTCACAATTATACGGATACATCACAAGATGTCCCAGGATTCTCATTCTCTTTCTTATCACCTTGGTCTGGAGACTTGTTTTGAATGACGAGAATACTATTTTGTTTTTGTATTTGTTATTCTGTCTCAGTTAACACTACAAGGTTACTATGGATTATGTCTGTGAGAAGTACAACAACATATTTTCTGTGTCAGACCATCACTCTGTGTGTTGCAGTATTGGGGATCATTATAACCAGTACAGGAACCTCTTGGAGTTTAAACTGTATACTCGCAAATGTCAGAAACTGAATACTGAGTGCCAATCTAAATATAATTCTAAGGTGTATGAACATGGCCCGTAATCAGTTAAGAAACCTACATTGTTGTCTGTTAGATGAACCATCTCCACATCTGTTGAGACTTTTGTTATTTCCAGGTTGAAACAATCAATGGGTTAATCAGAAATCTGTCCATAAAAGAATTCAGTATGAAACTGACAAAGAACAAGAAATGGTATAGAATTAACAAATGCACTCTAACATTAACTGAGTTTACAAATTAATACAAAATTCTACAAGGGAATTACTATGGCAGTACAAAATAGTTTGGCAGTATACATTCAATAGCTTTATAAATAAAACAGTAATATAATTGAAAGCAGTGCTGATAGCAATACGGATAGTGTTGATATTATTCACCAATCTGCAATAGTGGTCAAGCTTCTAAAATAGATCTATTTTGAGAGGCCAGTGTAAAAAGTCTTCACACTGCTTGATGTAATGTGAGATTAGTTTGGTCTTTGTTCCGGTTGTTCTAGAAGCCTGTTGACTTCCAGTATAAAGAAAGTAATTAGCACACCACTGCCTTCAATACTATTACAACACTGTTTTACAAATTGTCTGCTACTTCTGCACTATCTGTGAAAGATAGCATATCTGAGTCCCTCCTCCAGGCTGATCTCTATGCTGCTACATCAACAGCTCGCTGTGTGAGCTGTCTAACACTGTCACCCCTGTCAGTGTTTACTGAAGTGCTCACCTATTAGATACGGGTTGACATCAACAATTGACTCTAAGATCCTGCACCTCTCAACATTCATATGACAGTGGACTTATCTGGAAGCATATGTCAACATCGACATACAGATCCATCTTCTATTGAGCAGTCTTTGTCATCTCCATAATGACTGCCATACTCCTAGCACTCAGATCCAGCCAGATCTCAACACCATCAAAGGTCAACCATACCGTCATTTATTACCCAGCATTTCATATGAATACAGGAAGTCATAGGGAGTGGTGTTTTAACCGTATTTTAACGTAGGGAGCAGTCATTGCAAGCGATAAACATTACATCAATTCCATTCTTCAAATTAAAGATACTCACCTAATGGACAGTGCATGGATCATTGATTCCAATTTAACCCAATAAAATAAGAGCCACCAGTTAAGTCTCTTACAGCCCTGTCAACCTGCAAGTAATAGCATTATTAACTCCAAATTAAATGTTCTTGAACATGAAAGTTCAAAACTGAATAAACTGTAATAACATGATACAGGCAAAGATATATAAAATCTTCATGGTCTATATAGTACGCTCTTTAAACGCAGAGCTACAGATAACTTTTTGGGTCATTGAGTTATGTACTCACTAGTGTTCATCTCAATTGGGTATCCTAATTTTCCTTTGAGTAACGAAATAAATTGTACTCACCTCAATCAAACTCATTTGGGTATTTTGCCATTTTCCATTAATTTTAAAAATATAATATAGTTTAAATGTTAGTGTTTGTGATTTACCTTTGATCTCTAATATGAGAATGTATAAGAAAGGCTGCAAGTTGTGAAGTTCATGTCCTAAAATAGAACCTCTCAATATGCGTCAGTTATTTCATCTATCCACCGGTACGCAAGCTACGACTGGACATTTTTGTGTGTACGCATGTAAGATCACATTTATTGAGTATTTACAAAACTTCACGCGTACTTGTACGCAATAGACTTAATAGGAATTGGGTTTTCACATAAATGTTTGCGTAATGTACGCAAATACGCAGCTTATCTGTACCTCTGTAAACGTGTTAGATGTAAACATTCTACATGAACTCCCAGTATTCTCCACTGAGAATTACCTGTAGTTATAATATGCTGCCCATAGATGTAAAGGCAGATAGTAGGGGGGTCATTTTTAGAGGTTCATTTTGCAATCTCTTCATTTTAGTAGCCCAGACCATCCATAGATGTAAAGGCAGATAGCTGGAGTTTATTTTGCAGGCTCTTGTTTTTCAAAGTTGTGTATGATTTAATCAAAACAAAAGGTTTCTTTAGAAAGCCTAAGACATTTGTTCAACTTTCAACTCAAGTTGAAACCAGTACATCTAAAACACTCAAAGAGAGAGGAGTTTTAATTATCTAGTACTCCTGAGAATCACAAAATGAATCACATGTAAGTTTATTTTTGAGTATGTATTCTCCAGGACCATCCAGCCATAATGCACAGAGTATTTCCTGTAGCATGCTTGCACACTTGTGCCTCTGTGTAGAACACAACCATGTCTATACCAGTGCTTAATCTATTTTCCTCTGTATTTTTTTCAGATGAATGGGCGTCTGGTTCTAGGTGCAGATTCTACTCTGGTCCGTAAAACACTGGAAATTATTCAAGGAGAGATAATTTTGACTGTTGCACGTTCAAAATCTGAAATCAACAATACATCTGTTGTGAGTTCTAATTTGTCTTTTAACCTTGGTTGATCGTATATCAGGCTAAGTTGTTTGTATTCTTCTAGGCTCAGTCACGAACAACACACGACAAAATACTAAAGTACTGTCGGAAATAGAAAAAAACTGTTTTTAGGCTGTTACTCTGTATCCCTAAAATTTACACAATTGCAAATAGCATATGTCGAAATAAGCCACATCGCCCTAACTGGGCTTTAGGTGGGATGCGTAATAGGATATCCAAAAAAGCATGTTTACTCGTAAAATCGGGCAAAACTTAGACAAAATATGGATAGCTGCTGAAAACAATAGATCAGACTATAGATGGCAATTAGGTCGCTCAGCCCGCTATAGTGACGCCCAGTCGACTCACCTGGCATGGTATGTACGTGCTGCTTACAGGCACATGGGGTCAACTCAAAGATATTTTATGCTTTTTCGTGTGTGTTGAATATGTCTCATATATTAACATATTACATGTCTTTCTTTCATTAGGTTTATGTTGAGATATGTAAATGAGTATGATAACCATAGAAAAGCTTAAATCAGCCTTCGTATTAAATGTCTCAAACTATATAGGTGGCATGACCACCCGAAGATCGACAGGACTGGATATTATTTGTAAATTGTTATGACATGCTGTTTACTTTCCCAGTTTAATTCCCCTAAAGGATTATCTTATCTTAGCGGATATCTTTATCCCCTTCCCCGACCCCAACCACCGTCTACAACACCCGTCCTGGCTTTGCTTTTGAGACGACCCCTCCTACCTGTTTGTTTTTATAGTGGTAGTGAGACTCCATGGTAGCTACATTCATAATAGTTTCAGTATGAGAATTATTATATTTTATTTCAGCTATCGTTTATAATGAAGCTAAGTCTAATTTCAAAATGGGCTTTTAAAAAGTGCCCTTTGTAATACAATATCATCGCACACTAATTTGCATAAATCCATGGTCTGTTCCAAATAAGTCGACTTGGACATTTAAAAAACCCTGCATTGCTTATTTCTGTACTAATCTCTCCTCAGTAAAGTCCTTTTTTTACCTTTCCTATCTCCCTACCACTGAGATTGTAGTTAAGCTGAACTAAGTTTAACAGATATTTCACACTTTCATATATTAACTACATAAATTGTAGATATAAATGTGGAAAAAAGTTTTTTTCTATTTCCGACAGTACTTTAAATGCTGATTAGGGGTGTCACAAAAAGGAATTTGTGCCATTGAAAGACAACATGTTAGTTTGTATCTGTTTTAGATGTATAAACTCTTCTCCTACTTCTCCTATTGGGTAACATTAGATTCATTTCAAAATGATATGGCATTAGAAATGATCTGTTAGAGTAGATTTGTCAGTCGTAGTTAACCTGTTGGAGTGACAAGATCTATATCTTCTCCCATCAACCATCTCAAGATGTTTATTCCAACTTGATTAAAACTACATATAATTATCATTCACATATCAGGGAGTATCAGGTCTACACTAAGTGTCTTTCTTAACTAATATATACCCACCCTCAGCATGAACATACTGGTAGTTAAAGGGGAAATGTACACGAAAAAAGCACGTTTATTCTTATGTGAAACAAAATGGACTTTTCTCATTAGTTACTGTCAATGCTTGAAAATAAACACTCATCGTTTTTACAATGAAAGTATAACCCTCAATATAAGTGCTGAAATGTTATGCCATTATGAGACCGTTTTTTGTCGAGCTAAACAGGCCAGAGTTATTGCCCTTTGATTATTGTGTAATTGGTGACAATTGATTTAGACTGGTCTCCTGTCTAGTTCCAAAACAAATGATATAAATACTGACATTAATCATGTGAAAAATGTGTGTAAGAATACAAAAGAAGCATTAGAACTGAAGATGTAAGCAGCAAGATAGAAATGATTGTGTGTATTTCCATTCATAACCTCACCTCAATGAAAATACCAAATACAGTCAAATCCCGATGAGTCGAATGCCGGTGTCTCAAATATTATGCATAACTCGAAGTACCTGTCTGTCCCAACCATTCCCTGTTATAGTTGTCATCATTTGAATACCGGTTACACGAATTCGTCTCATAAATACACACGATGACTCGAGAAGGAAATTTGGTCCCATGACATTCAAACAACAGCAATCTTGTATACATAAGCCGAAATCAGTCAATGAGAAGCTGATTGGTGTAGCACACTGATCCAATTAACAAACCAGCGCGGCTCACACCTTTCCGACATTGACGGGTGAGTTCAAAAGGCAGATTAGTGATTTTACGGAAATCACTGTCTGTGCTAATCAGACTGGAACTGATAAGGTGCCCCCTATTAGTGATAGGGAAATCATTAGGTAAACAAATGCTTAGGTGGAGGAATTAGGACTGGATCATCTTTTTTTCTACCCTCATAGACATACCTATGTCTCGAATACATCGATAAGTCGAATGTATTGCTTGGTCCCCAGCGATTCGACTCATAGGGATTTGACTGTATGTATAACAATGTTGATGTACTTGTGACATCACTATCGAGAAGCAACTTTCTTAAAATCGTGTGCTCACCAACACGAGTACGCAGGCTATTTGGAAGGAAACTTTCACTGTTTCAAGCAACATATATGCATAAATGGGACATATAAGTAGTCAAAACATTCTGACAATCTGCTGGTTGTTTTTTCTATTTGTTTGTTTTTTCTATGTATTCAGCAGCTTCCGTACGTAGGCTTCGTTTTTTGTTAACACGATATCTCATGTACTATTGTACGCAATGTCTTCAAATGTGATGACAGCCTACATGGGGTATTACGCAGACACCAGTTGATCTGGGTGACTTTGATCTTATCTTCAAGGTCACCACGACAGTTTGACCACTTTTCAAACTTACATAAGCGTAATATCTCTTAAAATGTTGAGCCCAATGTCTTTTTCAAAATCTCACCCGTCGCAATACCCGGACCCGTGATGATCATGTGACTGATAGATTAAACAATGTAGTATGTTATTCTTTCATGATTAAAAGGTTGTATTGTCTTTGAAGATTTAGACATAATTTACCGTCACCTGTTTTGAATATAATACATGGTAAAAATATTCAGAAATTTTAGCCTCAGAGCTGAAGAATATATTGCCATTTCTTACAAATTGGATGTCAGGAATTAACATAGTGGGTATTAGGGTAGGGTAGAGTAGGGTGTGGGGTACCCGGGGTAGAACATTTGTACCCGTCCCAGCCCTAGTACACACTGATACTGACAGTGGATATGTGCATCTGCGTCTACACATTCAAATCTACAACATCATATATTCCTGGAATATCTTCAGAGTTAGAAGAAGATTCTGAGAAGTGACCATGACTAAAAACAACATCACACAAAAGGTGATCTTTTATGGGACCAAACGATAAAAACTAGTAAATATGTTATATTTCATTCTTCTTTAGTTGTTTTCATTGTGACCAAGGGGCGGTGGGGTAGCCTAGTGGTTAAAGCGTTGGCTCGTCACGCTGAAGACCCCGGGTTCGAATCCCCACATGGGTACAATGTGTGAAGCCCATTTCTGGTGTCCCCCGCCGTGATGTTGCTGGAATATTGCTAAAAGCAGCGTAAAACCAAACTCAGTCAGTCAGTCATTGTGACCAGGGGAAATAGTCCGAAATGAGGAGAAGTACCATTATCGTTGTGCGTGAGTTTGCGTCAGTCATGACGAGGATCGAGGAATGAGAAGCCGTATATAACAACAAGGAGTATACCTAAAGAGCTACTGCTGAACTGATGTATAGTTCTGTTGTTGAGATATGTTGTTATTGCTTACAAGGTTTAAAGCATGATGCTATTATGAATATCATTATTTGGCACAGTAAAATAAAACATCATAGAATCCCTTCTACTAAGTTCTAGAAACTTCAGGTAAAAGAACAGGTGAGATAACCAACTTGGTCCATAAAATGTGACATGTGAGAGAAATTATCACTGTTGTAACTATTTGTCTTGGGCATTTCCAAATAATAACAAAATATACTGTTTAGTCACTGAACATTGTGGAGGGTCCAAGAAACATGAGCAGTTGAATTTTAAGGGTCAATTACAAGGCGATTGCCCGCTCATGATCTGTGTACGCCAGGTCTCCCTACGTCCACACAAAATATGAGCCATTGCTCTGTCCTCAGCATCAAGAAGGACTGTTTTGTTGGAACAGATCATGTCAACCTGCCCATGTAATACTTCCCATGCTTCTGATAGAAGGACAGGGAGATAAATGCAGATATACATTGAAACACATATACCAATTTGGAAAGGGAAATAATTGTCTTTGGAGTCATAATCTGATCAAATATGAGATTTCAAGGGGATTCTCTTGGTTGGCACTGAGGTCCTCCCAAGCTGGTCTGGAGCCAGTTTGTTGAGTGAGTGAGTGGCATCTGGTGACTATGCAGGATAATTAAGATGGCGACTTAGACTGGAGTTTTGTTTCCCTTTAAAATGATGTTCAGTCTGTATGAAGTCATGGTCAGACTTACTGACTTGGTTGATGCATGTTATCGTATCCCAATCGTGGAGATCGATGCTCAATCACTTGATTGTCTGGTCTAGTCTTGATTATTTACATATATCTGGAATATTGCTGAGTGCAGCGTTCAACAAGAACCCATCAAACAATCATGACAACAAACCTTTGAATTCTCTTACTGTTCTTACATTGATGGGGCGGTGGGGTAGCCTAATGGTTAAAGCGTTGGCTCGTCACGCCGAAGACCCGCATTCGAATCCCCACATGGGCACAATGTGTGAAGCCCATTTCTGGTGTCCCCCGCCGTGATGTTGCTGGAATATTGCTAAAAGCGGCGTAAAACCAAACTCAGTCAGTCAGTCAGTGTTACATTGATAATGTGGTGTCTTCTACATTTGCAGAAAATGGACCAAATGGTGAAGGAAATTGATTTCCTGCGTGCACAGATTGCACAGCGGGATACGTGCATCAGGGACATGCAGTCTCTATTACCGTGGCAGCAAGAAGTGTCTACTGCTGCTAAGAGGTTGAAGAATGATGACATTCCTAATGAAGAGGTGGAGATAAGTGATGATGAGTTCATTGTATAAGAAAAAGTGTTACAGCAGACCTGAGTTTCCAGCAAGAAGACTTTCAGGGGCACTTGAACTTCTTGACAGAAAATCAAAGATTTTGGATCATTTTGGAGTAGCAACCAAGTTGAAAATATCTTTCAGTGTCATGAAACTACAAGCTGTGTGATATTATTAAATGAGGTGAAGGCTCAAACTTCAAGAATATTTAGTTTTATTCATGAGAAATTAAAAGTCTGTTTTAAAGAATGAAGCTACACTATACAAATAAGTATTAATCAAGCACCCACTTTTCTGGATATGATAAGTTCAAAAACACTAAAAATGTATATGCTCTGAAAACAAAATTCTGCGTATTTGAATGCAAACATGTTTTAATCTGTATCGAAACGTCGCACTCACGATATAAAGAAGTTGTTATCCATAAAATTTGTTCTATATTAAATATATTTTACTCTGATCAAAACCAAAATCAAAATTGAAATATAAATTTGGTAACTATTTAGTTCTGAGAGGAATTACAATCTGATAAGAATACAAAAAAATATACCGGTGATAGACACCCCTTGCACATATAGCATCGGCCGTCTCCTCATAATAGCAATCAAGCATCGCTTTCTCAGCTTCAGCCATTCATTGTGCGGATTTTGAACAGCAGGATCTCTAGTTCGAACTTGAACTTGATCTAGATAGTCCTAAAGATGTTCGATAGGGACTCCCTGTCTCCAGATCTTTGGCATGGATGATGGGATAGTGGCTTCCCAGACAAATTAGGACTAGGTCAGGACCGTCATTGGTCTTGAATGATTCTGTAATTAACCAATAGCCACGTGCACATGGTTCCTTACAAATCTACTAATAACCCTCTCATTAATATTCAAAATAAAGTTAATTTTTAGTACTGTCGTCTTTTAGTTTATATCAGTTCAGAAGACTGTAACACACATATTGCACACTGCAATTATGAAATTTATACCCCAATGTGCTTGTCACCTTCGTAGCACGTGAACATGTGACCCACAGCTTTTGAGATATGTGAAGCAGTCTCTTTGCAAGTGCATTCCACATATGCTGTGGTTTTGACAAAAATGTTTAATTTTTTGCTATTGGATTCAGGTGCTTGTTAATTGATTAATGCTTATTTGCATATACAAGAAAGAAATCAAGACCTGTCATGTCATAAGTCATTTTTAAAGTCAGTCACTCATAATAGAACATGTGAACACTTTCATTCTGGAATATATAAGAAGTGTGGTGTGCACTGATGTTTCTCATGTCATCAGTAGTGGTGACTGAAGTTCAAGGTCACTCCTTTTGAAATATGCATCTAAACCCCAGGTGAATGTGTTTCATTCAGTAGAAAATGGATATGACGTGCATGATGACTTGAGTGTTACCAAGGCCAAGGGTCACTTTGCTGCCACCATGTAAGTTGTAACCGGGAAATAAGAGCTACAGCTCACTGCATTAACAGTGGTTAAAGTGGACATACTATGACAGTGAACTATGATTTGGTAGAGTGTGATCATGTAGTTGCCCACATCTGCGAAAACAACAAAATACTAGTATTCAGTGTATTGCAATATTTGTTTGACAGCATATGTATTCCAAGGAATAATAATTATGCAAAATTTATTAGAATATTTAAACACTATGATATTGTGATATATTCCTGTCTGCCGACATTGTCATGAACAGACTATAGCTAATATCCACTGTGTCCTCATTTATCATGGCTGATTCCACTCAGTATCAGGACAGTAGGTGGTGGTGGAAAAAAAGACAATAACAGCTTGAACATGGTACTAAAGTGATAAATAATTGGTTTTAATCTGTGAAAAAAGAAAACATGTTTCATGAATAGTAATGCATCTTACCCATATGGTGAAACATAACCAGTGTCATATATATCATATGTGCACATATCACTTTTCCCTTGCAACCATTGTTTCTGTATTTCATTGTCTGTGACGTCATTAAACAATTGAATGTGACGTCAATGAACAGGGCTGTCACACTTGCTTACCATGTTTTACTGCACAAATGTACATGAATAAAATGGATAATAAAGAAATTATTACACTCGCAAGTGTGCCACACGACTTATTTGAAACCCATGAAACATTTCACCCTCGTTTCGGGGGGTGGGGTAGCCTAGTGGTTAAAGCGTTGGCTCGTCACGCCGAAGGCCCGGGTTCGATTTCCCACATGGGCACAATGTGCACAATGTGTTAACCCGTGAAGGTCCGGAGTAGAATAGCCCTTCAGCAACCAATGCTTGCTATAAAAGGCGACTATGCTTGTCGTAAAAGGCGACTAACGGGATCGGGTGGTCAGGCTCACTGACTTGGTGGACACATGTTATCGGTGCCCAATTGCGCAGATCGATGCTCATGTTGTTGATCACTGGATTGTCTGGTCCAGACTCGATTATTTACAGACCGCCGCCATATAGCTGGAATATTGCTGAGTGCGGCGTAAAACTCAACTCACTCAATCACTCACTCACAATGTGTTAAGCCCATTTCTGGTGTCCCCCGCCATGATATTGCTGGAATATTGCTAAAAGCGGCGTAAAACTAAACTCAGTCAGTCAGTCACCCTTGTTTCGTTTAAGTCGTATGACACACTTGCGAGTGTAATAATCTCTATATAGACGTCAGTACCTACCTCGTATTACTGCATGTGCCTTTATTACACCCAGTAAACATGCCTTTTAAATTTTTCTTATAACATGCCTGGATTGAAGATAAAGGTCATAAGGTATGGGAATAACTTATTGAGGTAGCTAGGTACATGTCACTTTCTATGTTATAGTTGTACTATAAAGGTTTTCTTAAAAATTTCCTCTGTCCTGAGCTGAACTTATACAGGAACAATACTCAAACTGGGTGAGACCTGAGGATTGTTGACATCATTGCAGTGACAAACCTGTCTAAGAACATTGATGTCATGTGACAGTGAGAGGTCATGTAAGAGCATAGATGTCATGATGTGACAGTGAGGGGTCAAGCAAGAGCATAGATGTTGTGACTGTGAGAGGTCATGTAAGAGCATACATGTCATGTGATAGTACGAAGTCATGTAAGAGCATAGATGTCATGTGACAGTGAGAGGTCATGCAAGAGCATAGTAAGAGCATAGATGTCATGTGACAGTGAGAGGTCATGCAAGAGCATAGATGTCATGTGACAGTGAGGTCATGTAAGAGCATAGATGTCATGTGACAGTGAGAGGTCATGCAAGAGCACAGATGTCATAGATGTCATAGTGAGAAGTCATGTAAGAGCACAGATGTCATGATGTGATAGTGAGAAGTCATGCAAGACTGACTGACTGAGTTTGGTTTTAGCAATATTCCAGCAACATCACGGCGGGGGACACCAGAAATGGGCTTCACACATTGTGCCCATAGAAGTCATGCAAGAGCATAGATGTCATGTGACAGTGAGAGGTCATGTAAGAGCATAGATGTCATGTGACAGTGAGATGTCATGCAAGAGCCTACATGTCATGTGACAGTGAGAGGTCATGTAAGAGCATAGATGTCATGTGACAGTGAGAGGTCATGCAAGAGCCTACATTTCATGTGACAGTGAGAGTTCATGCAACAGCATAGATGTCATGTGACAGTGAGAGGTCATCTAAGAGTCTAGATGTCATGTGACAGTGAGATGTCATGTAGGTCATGTGTTAACACCTGCGTCCGATAACGGTCCCATAGTCTTGTGATGGTGCTTGGTCGTACATGGAAAAAACCTGGCTACAGCCGAAGCCAAGACGCCAGTCTGCAGCCGGCCGATGGTGTTGTTTTCGTTGAGCTGTCAGTCGTGGCATATTTTCACCTTTCACTTGAGTTGTGATGACAGACAATTCATTTTCATAGTCCAACAGTTCATGCTGCACATTCATTATATGTTGTGTGTTTGGCCTCCACATCCCACACTGGTTACATACTTCTACCCACATAGAACACTCCCAATGCATGCAGACATGAGATACTCATATTCATGTTGGATCAATATCAACAAGACACTGTCAGATATTTCTAATGCGTTCCTATTTTTGCAGAGTATATTGCCATCATTAATACTATAAAGTACGACTTCAGATAATTCTGTGACATTTTGTGTAATAAACAAATGAGAAAGAAATATGGTTTGTTGTTAGTGTTGTTATACATCTGCCGTCCCTTAAACGACAGTATTTCATGGCCATATAGGACATTTTACACGAACCTTAGCAATACCACTAATAGAGCAGTGGTTTCTGGTGTCCAACATTGAAACATGTCCACCAGAACTTGTTGCTTTACATGGTTCGGTGGAGCAACACATGCATTCTTAAAAATGATAAAATAGCTATTAACAGCAAAGATATACTTCTTATGTATAGCAGTCGTGTTCTCTGTAAAATATTATGGTTACCATGGAAACCAAAAAACCGACATTTTTCATTTGGTTGGTTAGATTTTGGTTGATCAATTAGAGACCAATTTGTCCTGTTAATTCATAAAAGGAGTTGTTTACTGCAGTACAAAAAAAATACCAGAAATGTCATCGTTTAATTCCAAGTATATATCATCATATACCTTAAGTATGTACCAGTCTCGTCTTAAACCAGAACAACCATTATTTGAGTAATTGGAAAGGACAACACATTTGACTAAACTTGATTATTTCAATGCTCAGCAAGTGTAACCCGTAAACTCACTCACTCAGAAAATGTATTTAACATACATGCTTCATATCTTGCTAAGTAATGCAAGATAGTATTACGACACCGATCATATTTTTTGCAAACACCCATCTAGTACATTTCACTGGTGCATCTTTCTATAGCAGGATGAAGACAAGATTGAGGTACCCCTAAAGACAACTTACAAGCCAAGTTTTTCACATTTAGGGATCAAAACCAGACCAGGGAGACCAAAGCAGTCGTCGGTATCCTTACGCTCTTCAATGGTGGACGTCACTTTTAGGAAATCTGACATCCTGTTACGTCTATTATGTGCTCAATGACAATATATACACATATAAACTCACAAAATTGCATAAATTAAACATGCAGCAAAGTACTTAGCATGAAATTTGATGTCATGTATCGCGTGTGGCATGTGCACAATCAACTTGCATGCTTTTTGACACCTGAAGTTCACATACCTGATGTTGAAAATTGAAGAATTATTCAAACGTTAAATTC